TTTTATATAGCCATATTCATTACAGCCATAGCATTGATTTTCTGAACAGTCTTTAAACAGATGAGTGGTCTGTTTGCAATTCTTGCAAGCCAATTGTTTTCTTAGTTTGTTAGGACAGTTAGTAAATTGGTGACTATATTTATTACAATGTTGACATTTATTTTTAGAACAGTTTTTATATAGAGGAGTGGTCTTGTTGCAGATATGACATGCAGGATAGTTCTTTTTTCGAAAATATGTAGTTCATCTTTTATTATAATCTTTTTTCTTAGAAGTTACAAAAAAGGTATAAGCTTTATAGAGAGTTAAATATTCTTGCTTATATAGTTCAAAATCTTCTGAAGTAGTACAAGTAGATTGTTTTTCTTAAGGTTGTTCTTGCTTATAAGATGTATCAAAAACAATTTTTTTTTATTCTAATAAATAGTATATTGGGAAGTTTTCTAGTTATAATTAGCTTCTACTTTCTTTAACTAATTATTTTCTAATAGAAGTGAATAAGAAGTAGCAGATACAACTTTTACATCTAAAGAAATAAGTCATCTTTGAACTCTAATAGGTAGGTTTCTAATAATTCCTAGTAGTCTGAAGGTAGTTCTAATAGCAGTAACAATAATGCTTTTAGATGGTTCTTCTATTTTTAATCCTAATTCTTTTACTGTTTGGTGGGAAATCATACTAACAGAGCCTTCACTGTCAATAATAGCAAGATAGGTTCAGTCTTGGATGTCAATATAATATTTAACAAAAGTAATAGTAGAAGTATACTAAGGTTTGGTAATTTTTTGATTCTCTGCTGTAATGTAAGCAGTAAAAACAATTTTAATAGAATAGTTGTCTAATAATCTTTTCTAATTGTTAGTGTTTGAAATGATTTGTACTTTAGCTACATTTACATCTTAATAGTAGAATGAAGGTGAGCAATTAAATCTTGGTTCCCATCTTTCTTAACTTCTGTCTCTAAATCTGTTTCTTCTTAAATAGTTTTTGTCTTTGAATCTGCTTCTGCTTTTGTCTCTTTGGTAATTATTTCTTTGATTATTGTAGTTTCTTCTGTTATTATTATAACTATTATTGTTGTTTTTGCTTCCTCTAAAGTTTTTGTTTCTTTGGTTTTCGTTTCATCTCTTTTTACAATTTGTCATAAAATGTTTAAGATTATCGCAATAATAGCAAAGAGCTTTGTTCTGTGCAAAGTTAGATCTAAAGTTATTTTCTCTTTTTGCAATATAGGCTATGTAAGGTTGTAAAGTTTGTTGAGCTTGTAATGTTGGTTGAGGTTGGGTCATAACTGAGTTAATATATAGTTAGGCTAGTTGTTTGATAATGTCATTAACATCATTTTTTCTGAGGTAGTCATTACATTATTAATATCATCTTTTCTAAGATAGTTATTACTTTTTTTAGTTCTCAATGTTTTGCTTCTTTAATAGCAGCAGCTAAGTTATTAGAGACTGATGCTTGTACAGGTATTGCATATTTAGATTACAATCCTTTAATGAAAAGCTAAACAATAAAGTCATTTGGGAAGCTTCTATCAGGATTTACCTTTCTTTTGAGCTTTTTAAACTGAGCAATGTATATATCAACAGTATTGGTTCTTTGTTTTAGATTAAAGAATTCTTGTTGGCATATAGTTTTCTTTTTGATTGTTTTAAATTGCTCCAAGAATCAAGTTTTAAATCAAGGTACTTTATTTTCATTATATGATTGAAAGTAGTTATCTTCAAGTCCTTTAAGCCAATCTTCTGCATTGTTCTTCATATATGCTTAGGCAATTGCAAGTTTTCTAGCTTCAGACTATCTATTGGCAATAGCAGCTTGTTTAAATTCATTAATCCAATCAATTAGGTCTTCAGTTCTATTATCTTTAAATGATACAATTTTAAAGAATGATTTCTCTTCAGATTCAAGAGTATCAACTAATTTATTTATTGCAGCAATAGTATTTTTCATGACTCTTTCATCTTCAGAATCAAGTTCATCAATAATAGTTTTTAATATATTTTATCCTAATATTAAAATTTTTAATTTTTTTTTTTTAGTATTAAGCTGACCTCTTTGGTTCTAACTTTTTATTAATACTTATATCAGGTACATGTTTCATATAGATATAACTATATTAAACTATCAGATGAGTATACAACTAACTATATATATAATTTTTCTATATTACCTATTTAAGAAGTCTGTTTAGAGATTTCTTATCAGTTGTTGTATCTAATACCTCTGCTTAAATGTTTTATTTAAATCTTCTAATCTAACTTTAGCATTAATTTTATTGAATTATAGACCTAGATTTATTTGCTTTTAACTATAAAACTATAATTCTTAGACTGTTTTTATTTTTAAGATAAACCTATCAGAGTGAGTAATATTTTCTTTTACTGTTAACCTAGTTTAACACTATGATCAAAACCAATACTTGTAATCAGAATTACTTATTAAATTGCTATTATTCTTTTAAAGTTTATCTAAATTCTAGTTCTCATTTTTTTAACTTTTTTTTCATCATATTCTATTAGCTGCAACTTAGAATCAATAGACATTCCAGACTTCCAATTCAGATAGCCTAGTATAGTATACTTATGTATTTTTTTTTTTTTAATAATTCTAATAGTCTAGTTAATTATATGTTTCTTTATATATCTTGTCATTTAGTTTATCTAACAGTTCCTATAAAGGTGTTTCATAAACTTTTATCAGTCCAATAACATTATTAAAAGTTTGTGTTATCTTTTTATTTAGGATTTCTAAATAGGTTTCTGTTTTTTTGATTTTTTAGTTTTTTACACCCAGTGGTCTTATTACAAGTTTGTACTAAAGTCTTATATAATACTAGTTTTTCATATTTTTTTATTTATGTATAATATTACACTTTATATAAATATTCTGAGTTCCCAATATTAGATAGGACCCAACTTAATATATCTAAGATTACAGATATTCAAAATTCAACTAATCAGCAAAAAACAATTACCATAATACAGATATAATTTTCAAAATTCATTATTTGTAGGAATTGAATCTTAGACCTGTTATTTAAGGGTTGACAACCTATTTACTTTATTAGATTATTATGCTCTTTGTTAAAAATTTAAATAAGATATCTACAATTAGAAATTAAATATAACATTTAGTAAATAATTTTAAAACAAAACCTTAAAACAAAATTTTTAAATAAACAATAACTAAAGCTATATATATGATTAATTATCTTTTACTAACTATAAATGTATTTTTATTATTATTCTTATTAAGATCAATGTTTAACAATAACTAATGGCTTTATTTGTGTTTTTAGTTAATATATTATATATTACTTATACAAAATAAGCATACAACTAATCATATATGTAACTTTTAGTTACTTATTTAAATAGTTTGTCTGAGAGTTCTACACTAACTGTCATATCTATAATCTATTAAAAGACTATCTAATTAAATATTCTGGTTCCTATACTGCACTTAAACAATTAGCTACTCCTGGTTTCTATACACCTAAGTGCTATCTAATCTAATATTTTGCCTTTTTTTTATACAACTATCAAGCTGTTACCAAATTTCAGAACACATTACCTAACTGTAAGACTTAGAAAACCCTTCTGTTAACTATCTACCTACTTTATAAAACATTAATAAATGTACTTTAAATTAACATTATCAAATAAAACCAATGTTTGTTAAATAAAAAAAACTTATTTAAAAAAATTCAACTCTTTTATTAATTTTTCTTATATATATAAAATCTAATTAACTTGAATTAATAACAAATATATAATATAATATATAAGCTATTATGGACATTTTAAAAACAAATCAATACTTCTACTTATATTTTGATAAATTTTGAATCTATTCTCATGATTTAATAGTCAAAACAAACAAAATTCCAAACTTTCTTAATAGTTAAAAAAAGACTTAAAATCTAAACTTTCTTTTGACTATTAAATTATAAAAATAGCTTCGAAATTCATAGATATAAGCAGTAAAAGTTAAAATATTAATTTTTTTAATCTACTTATTCTATTGACGGCAGCCCACATAATTAAACTTCAAATTATCTAGTATATTTTTTTTAGAAATAAAAAATTGGGTTATACGTCATATTTTATTATAGCGTTTACACAAAAACTTATATATTTACTTTTTTATACAGATTTGATCAGCAGTATGTTCTTAAAATAAACAATACAGTTGTAAATTTAGTGCATACGTAATGTTTGAGCGTTAAACCAAATTTGTTTACGAAGCATAGATAAATTCGATAGAAAAATCTGATAATTTAGATCACAAAACGCCCTTTTTTAAACGTAGTTCGGTATGATTTGCAAGGTTACGAATATCAAACAATTGGTATGACAAACTTATGACATAATTTATACATTTATATCAAAAAGTCATACTCAGAATTAAGTCATAATATTAGATAATGATGAATAGGTGGAACTGAGTCAATGAATACTACTCGATCGTCAAATTTAATAACACTACTCGTTGATAATCAAGTTGTTGCGATCACTTCTCCAATAGGATAATTGATAGGATAATTACAACTAGCATTCTCGAAAATTACCCGATATACAAGTCAACTATTTGCAATAAAATTTTTTTAAAGACAAGTTTATTAATTTCATAAATAACACAGGGCATCAATGGCCTAGTCACCGAGTTTTTTTTTTTAAAAAAAAAAATAAGAAATAATGCGAAAATTATATATACAAAATTAACTGGCGGAAATGTTTTTTTTCTTTTTTTGTTCTAATATGTACATAATTTTGAATAAGGGAACAGAAAAATTACATTTTTCTTATAAATCATAAGCATAACTCATAATAAGGCCTAAAGACAATAATAATTATTATTATAATAATAATAATTCATAAAAATAGCAATAAATGCCATTTGCCAGCAAACGTGGAGTCATAATTTTCTCCTTATGATTTTATGTATCTTTTTCATGACCCAACCAAATTCGTATAGTGTTCAACATGAACAGATTAAGAATTATAAGATTGAGCTGAAGATCTTTCAAATGTAGAGTGCCCACCGTTTTTAATATATTCTTGAAGAATATTGCAATCACAATTTCGATGCGCGAGAAGTTGATTCTTGAGTGCTAACATCTCTTCTTTGAGATCATTCACAAACGCGTGTAGTTGGTTGTTCTTTGCAATAATTGAATCAGCTTTATTCTTTAAATCTTGTACCCAGGCTTTTTTCTTCTGTCTGCATTTTGAAGCTAAAACGTAAAAAAAAATAAAATAAAATGAAAATAATTACATAAAGAACAATAGAATAAATCGATGATTATTAATAATTACCAGCGATGCGATTCCTTTCCAAGAATTTGCGACGCTTTTCTTCTGCAGTTTCTTCTGCATCTTCGGCAGCACGTTTTTTATTTCCATTAATGGAAGTAGTTCTTGTCGAAGAAGAAAAAGGTACATTACTGGTATTATGCACTTGAGACATGGTCGACTCCTCAATTGAGGAGGTTAGCATGTTATTTGTCGTATTTTGAACTACCGTAATATTGTTTACAGCAGTTTTTTTATTAACACGACGTTTTTTCTGAGTCGGTGTTGTTTGATGAGAGGGAGGCGGTGTGGGTTGAGTAGAGTTCAGTTCATCGATAGCATTAGCGTCGTCTGGTTTAACCGATTTAGCCGCTGATAAATGCCCGCCGAGTTTCTTTGTAGAATTGCAATAGACGTCATTCGGAGATGGATGTTTGAGCGGTTCCTGACCGTTTAAAACATTTTGATCATTTTTGAGATGATTTTGAACAATTCTTGGAGATCGAGATTGAAATACTAATTCATTCTGTGCATTTTTTTGGATGTCTCTACATAAAGCTTCTTGATGATGATGATCTTGGTCATCATCAGTTACCAAACTTGGAGTAGGGGAGTGGATTGATACAACTGTCGGTGCCGTCATCAAAGGATTCTCTCTGAGATTTGACGTATGAGAAGAGTAAGAAGTAACGATGGGACTCGGTGCAGGAATAGTAGCGGTTGAATTATTAACGATTAGAATCGGATTATTAGGTGCTAAGGAGTCGAAGTGCGCAGCGTTAACATAGTAATCGTCTTTTTTTTGCGTTTCATGGCAAACCATCGTTTCAGATTGTGAAAGTTTTTGAACACCATCATCAAATATATTAAGATCTTGACCGAATGTACCAAACGACGGTGTCATTGCAAAATCACCACACACGTTAAGAAAACGTGAAGGTGGCGCGGCCATATCTAAATATATATAGAAGATTAGTATTAATATACAAACGAAGATAAAAAAAGCTCACGTTGATTTTCTAAAACCCACCATCAAAATCTCCTGCAGGACCATGGTATACTGACCACGAAGAAATAACTGGTGTGTTCATAATGAAGTTAAAAATGTAAGAGTTACGAAAATAAATTTCTTTTAATGAAGTGCGCGTTAAAAAAAATCACTGGAAGGAAGCAGAATATGAAAAAATGAGCTATTTATGCGTTTTTTTTTTTGTGTCGAAAAGACCGTTACGCAGTGAAGAGGTTTTAACAATTTTACAGTGAGCCAATATATTTTTTTCAATATATATATTTCACAAAAAGTAAACAGGAATTTTAATTCAGAAAAAAAAAAAATAATAAAATATTGACAGAGATAGTTTGAGTATGTACCACATGATAGATCATCATGATGTAATTTTATGCTGTTTTGGTCACTCGATCAAACCCGATCCGGCGTTGGGACTTCCTCATTATGTGGTTCGGGTACAGTATTTATTTATTTTTTATTTATTTATTTATTTTATTATTTATTATTCTTATTCATGTCAGCATTTCAGCAAATATAAAAAAACTGCTGGTAGAATCCAGATATTGAGATTAGAGTTGTTTTGATACGCCACGTAACAATATGAAAAATAAAGTTTTATTAGAGAAAAAGACCACTATAGTTTAAATTATCCCTTCACTATTCTTTCTTGGTTACAGTTTATCGCCATCTTTTGAAATTTCGATCATTCATTTCCCATTTTATTGAATACCCGATAATCTCCGCAATTGGAAATCTTTTTAAATCTTTTTAAATCTGAAAAATAATGCTTAGTCCCACCTTTATTATGTGACACACGATATCTGATGCGCATACAAATCATAATAGTCTTCACAGGTTCATGGGAAAATAGTAACATGAAACATGAAGATTTAGCATTTAACTTCCTACTCTCGGTATGAAATATATATACATATTTATTATGTTCCCACTTTTATCTTGTAATCTTTTTCTTTCACATGTTTACGATTTTCTGTTACTGTGTTCATCTGTCATCAATCTTTATGTCTATTTGATTATGTTGCCTAAAAAGGCTGGTCGTTTTTAATTGATTCTAATTTGGGTATTGTAACGAATTTGGGTATTGTAACGTGGCTAAGACAGTAATTCTCTATTTTTTAATACTCGGAACCTAATTATATAATTTTTTTTCGTTATGTCAAAATGCATAAGTATACATATCCGGGAATTTAGCATTGTAACAATTTGACATTTTTTATGTCATATTTATATATTAGTACTACTGGTTTTCTATTAATAATTAATTAATTTGACTTAATTGTTTAGGTTTAGATTTTGGTTTAGCAAATATATAAGTATAACTATTTTTCTACATATGTGCAAATATTATAAAATTTGTTTCTAGTATATATATAAAGTAATTAATTTAAATTATTGTATATTAAATACAGTTACCTATTATATTATTCTTTAAACCGTTTTTTAGGCAAATTTGTTTGGATTTTTAAATTAAATTTAGTATTTTGTAAATATATAATACAATAAATTATTAATAATATAAGATACAGTTTACTTATAAAATATTTTATTAAAAATATATTTTACAAACTTTATTAGAATTTTTTTTTAAAATTAATAAGAAACTTTTAAGCAACAAAAGTTTAAAGATTTTGTTTAAAAATTTTTATTATAAAAAATTTTTTTAAATTCTAAAATTATATATATATACTTCTAAAGTTAAAAAAAAAATTATTTTTAATATAAATTTAAATTTTTACAAAAAATTAAAAAAATTATATTAATAAAATTATTATTTTTTATATAAATTATAATATATATTGTATTAAAAATTATAAGTTTAAAATTAATATTTAAAGAATTTATTAAGAATTAGTAAATAATTTTTTTTAGTTGAAAATTTTTTTAAATTTATTTATTTGTAACTTATATATAACAGTCATAGAACATGTCTTATTCAATAATTTTCATTAAGTAATATAAATTATTGTGACTTTTTTAAAGAATATTTTGATAACAATACTGTAATTAATATTTAGTTTTTATACAGATTTATTCTTCAAGCTTTGCATTTTTTTTTAATATAAAGAAATACTATCTTTATTTTAATCTATATAAATAAAATCAAACATGAAAATTGCAATTTTTTATTCTAAAGTTTAGGATTTCAGTTAAATAGCACTTATATAGACCTAATTTTTTTTGTTAAAATAGGAAATAAGAAGTACTATAAGTTTAGTTATTAAAGCAAAGATGTTTTACTTATAGAATCTGTAAGTTTACTAGAAGGCACTTTTTATAAAATAGAATTGAAATTAATATAACATCAACAGTTTTTATTAAAATCAAAAGTAATATATTTTAGTAAAAAACAAATAAATAATCTAAATAAAAATTTTAGTTTTAATTTTTATTTCAAGATTTTATAAAGATGAATGAATTACTAATCAGTGAAAAAATTTATTTAACATTTAGTTGAACCTTTAGATTTCAGTAAAAAAAATTTATTTGTGCTCTATTTATATCTTATTATTTATACTAATACTAATTTATTTAAAGCTTCTTGTACTTTTTTTTTATTAAAGCTGATGTTATCGGTAGCTACTGTCTTTATTGTGTTTTTGGTCAATGCATTACATATGACTTGTACAAGGTA